CTGGGGCCCCCGCAAAGATGTCGCCAGCGCTCACGCGTGCAATGGCCCCGCCAAGCGGGGGCGCGCGAGGCGAGGCGCCGCCCGCACTTTTCTGGATGGGGGGAATCGTTGCGTCTCCGTTGTTTCTGCGGGGGGGGGGGGGGGAACGTTCCCTCCCCCCCTCTGCCCATCAAGGGGATCGACGCGCCTGGGCCCGCTCGACGGCGTCGCGCGCGTCGGCGGGGGCGCGCGAGAGGCCAGTCAGCGTTTGAAACCCAGGATTCAACGCAACTGCTTCTCGGGCCTGCTGGAGAATCAACCCCGCAGGGCGGGGCGACCGCGCGGCGCGAGCACCGCGGCGGAAAGCGGGGGCGGCAATGGGGGCGACCTGTCACCGCAGCCGCGGGCCAAGAACGCAAGGAGGGATCGAGGTGGGGGGGTCGGGAGGGGGGCGTGAGAGGCTGCAGTTGCGGGGCGAGTTGAGAGCACGTCGTTTCGCGCGGAAGCCGAGGACATTCGCGTCGTAGAATTTGCAGGGAAAGCCCGCCAGGCGGACCAGCGCGCAAAGAATTCTGACCCATCGCCCCAAGCGGGGGCTCACCAGGCGCGAAGTTTCGAGCGACCATTCCTCTAGCACGAGTCTATCGGCCACGCGGTCGGGGCACGACGGCGCCCAGGCCGGCGCGCCCAAGGACGGCCAGCCAACAGTTATAGATAGTCGGCAGATCGTCACTCGCAAAACTTCACTCGGTAAACGAATGCCCCTCCGGTTGATGACGACAGAATGCAACTGCGGCTTCAACCGCAGATCATGAAATCTGGGCCCTGGTCGACACTCGGGCATGGGCGCCGGTCGACGCGCGGGGGCGCGCGGCGCCGCCAACGCGCAGGTCGCCCACGCAACTATTTCGGGGCGGGGGCAGGGGGGAATCGCGAAACTGCGCCGTGCAACCACAAAGGGAAAGTTACTGCAACACAGGGCAACGGTCAATGGAGCACAGACGGCGACGCATCGCAACGCCCACGCGAGTTACTGCGACCCCAGGGCAGCCGCGCCCAAAGACACCAGAAAAGTTTCTGCAGTATTGCAAGAGAGAGAGAGAGAGAGAGAGAAAAAAGCAACACCGAATAGGATGTTGCAGTAGGACCACGGGGCCGAGAACGCCGCGGCAACTCAACAAGACCCAGAAACATGTCGCGGCAACGCCAGACGGCGCACCACCCCCGCCAGACGCAACGCAACAGAGACTCAAACGAGCTGGCCACCGCCATCGCGCCACCTGAGTCGGCGCGCAGACTCCACGAGGACAGAACGCCACAGTAGCACACATGGAAATCTCTCAGCCCGAACACGCCCCATGAAGGATGGGGCCGCAGGAGAACGCAACTGCGCGACGACAGCGGACAACGGAGCACAACTACAGAAACGCGCAAGGACACCGAGAACACGAACGCGAAGCACCAAGGGGGGAAGGGGCGATGGAGCGGCCCTGGGCATCGCCAGAGCAAGGAGGAGAAGACGACGCGGCCGTCGCCAAACCCCGCAACAGAGACGGTGGAATCGAAGGCAGCACGACCAGAACAGCTGGGCGCCCATCTCAAGGCACAGAAACACGACCAAACCATCAAAGACCTGCCCAGGGCCGAACTGGGAGAGACGCGAAGACCAACGAACAAGCTTCAAGATGCCTGGGGGGGAAAAAAAATCGAAATCGCCAAACACCGCTCAACCCCCAATCCAGCAACGAACGATCAACGGCGCACATGACACCCGCGCTGCGGAATCCGCGCCCACGGCACCAGTTTGGGCCCGAAACGGTTAAACAGAAACAACTGGGGCGGAAAAGAAACGAGCGGGGATTGGGGGCGCCGAAAGAGCGGAGAGACGAGGAGGAGGCGGCGAAGGAGAAGGACGAGGAGGAAGAGAAGGCGGAAGAGAACGAAGACAAGGAGGCGCGCGGACGCCGATCACACTCTGATCGCATCAGCGGCACGCGCAAAGCGACAGACGCGACGGCTCGGGCCGCCCATCCCCCACCCAGACGAAAGCAGCAGACAGGCCCAACGAATGGGCCCAGATATCCAACCGACGCGCGGACACCAACAACGCCGCGACAGGCCGCCGAAGATCAACCAAGAGGGCTGCAAAACACAAGCCGCCGAACAGGAAGCAGCCCCGCAAAGCAAACGCGCGGCGGAGACCAGGGCGGTCGACCCGCACCGCGACAGCGCGGCCTGAACAAAATCTGCCCGAGGAAGGGGGGCAGGGGGAGGGAGGGGGCCGAAGATGGACGACGCCGGCGCAGACGATCAGGCATTCTCCCTCGGCGGAATGGAGCCACGATGACCAGAAAGCTTTCGGCGCCAGCGAAGACAGACATAGCTGGCGCCAAACCTGCGACGCAGAGACAGCCTCGCCCACCCCGTCCTCCTCACTCAGCCCCCTCCGACGCCGCTGCCCTGAGCCCAGGAATGTTTCAGCCGTGCGCGGATTGAGAGCTACCCCTCTCGCTAAAACCTAGATATCGCGCGAAAACCCCCCAATGCCACGGCGCGCCGCCCAGGGTTCCCCCCCCGCCGCGAATCGCGAGGGCGACCCTGTGTAACTTCACCCCGCGCCCCACTGTAACATCACGCGACTCCATGTAACATCGAGTGTGCTACTGACTGTGACATTGCCTCTGGGGCCCACTCTGGGGCCACCAAAAAAATCCTCTTGAGCTTGTGGGTGCGATTGATCCCAGGCGGCAAAGGGGCCGCATCGGCATCCGTACCGGAATCGAAGACGTCGCCATCTCGCCGGCCAGGTGAGCCCCAGAAGGTGGTCGCGCCAGGCGGTGTAGAGCTGGCCGCTGAATGCCAGCCCATATTTGAGCCAGGCGCCCGTTCGTCGTTGTCGTCGCCAGCTTTGGCGTCTTGGCCTGGGAGCGTTGTGGACTCAATGGGCTCTCCGCCGTTCCAGGCGCCATTCGGCGCGGCTGCCAATGCGCCGTTTCTTTCGGCGCGGCAGGTGCCGGCGATGCATCCGCCGAAGATGCCTCCGGCGTTCCCCAGGGAGACCTCAGCCAAGTGTCCACGGCTGCGCATTCGCTCCAGGAGTTGGTCGCACTGCTGTTGAGCGCGGGGCGCCCGGTGGTTCAGCGGTTGCAGCAGCGGCGCTGCTCGGGAGGTGCCAACCCCCAAGGCGCGAAATTAGATCAGGGTGAGGCTCTGGAAATGGGACACGTTGAAGCCCGCTGAATATGCTTCCAGCCTGGCCACCTCGAATCGGGCCAACACTGAATCGATGCGTTCGCCTCTCTCGACTCTGAAGGCGATGAGGGCCGTCCCCGAGGAGAGCTGTCGCTCGTCCTCGAGGTTGTCAAATTTGGTGCCCAATAGGCACATGACGCATATGGCTCGGTCGGCGCGCCCCCCCTGCAGCGCGACGCCGTGCTTGCCGATGGCGGACGGCGCCCCCATAGCAATGTCCTAGCCGACCCCCCTAGACCGCGCTGTAAAACAGCGGCCTCTCGGGGTGGAGTCGCGCATCCCCTCGCGAACAAAGTCGCGAAAAGGGCACGTTGCCTGCGGGATCCCAGAAAGGACCCCGAGTGCGCGTTTCACCGAGTCCCCCTCCTCGCACGCGCGCCACGGCAAGACCTAGGCGCGCCCAAATGCTTCCAAAGATAGCGACCTTGACATAGCGCATGGCCACGCTGTAGCTGATGATGCCAAGTTCCGTAAGTAAGAAAAGGGGTTGGGAGGCCCAACCAGCAGCTTCGCCTAATGCGATGCCCACATCCAACTCTGTCGCACCGCAATAACGATAATCCCAGACGTAGGAGGTCGTCACGAGAGCGACGGGCCATCTCAATACGTTTTCGGTCTCGATGGCAGGTAGTGCGCCTCGCGATGAGGCGCAGTCACATTTTGGCGACCGGCCGCTTGAGCCCATGCCGCAGCGGACAAACGCTCGCCATCTCTCGCCCTTGCCCCAGCTAACTTGAGAATCGGGGGGTGGCGGGGGCGAAGCGCGAGTCCGCCGCCACTACGCAGTAAACTCTACAAGCACAAAAGGCTGCAAAAGGCAGGTTCATAAGGTTCCTGTGCGCCTTTTTACTGCCAGCGATAGCAAGAGACTGAGCAGCGTAACAGTCCAGCCTTCGAGGTGCGGCACCGCACCACCAGAGCTCAAGCACAGGATGCGAGCAGCACGAGCATTCACATACATACAAACTGCCGAATATGCGCCAAAAATGCGGCAGCAAGCTGGCAACGCCGAACAATTAATGAGCACATTCTCTAGACAACGATTGCTGGATCACGTGAGCAGAGGCACTAACCTCCGCGCTGTGGAAACATCTGGCCAGCGCAAGACAGAATTTACGCGGATTGACAGCACCTCCTTGGTCTGAAACCCACCCCCGGGCAGGAAGCCCTGGAGCTCGATGCGGGGGCGGCCCGTCCGCGAGCAAATACCTCTGCGAGAGCCACAGCACACTGAGTCTCTAAAGCTGCCGGGCTCAAGATCAGACATCATGAGCCCTGTGCCCTTTTTCCGCGGCCCCCCCCACTGGCACATGGAGGTAATCAGGAAAATCACAGACTTACGCCTAAGGAGCGCTTTGAACCTAGGGAAAGCCACAGCCGAGAGGTCTTGGGGTTCTCAACACTCCAGGGGATACGCATCACGATGGACAGGCAGGCTAGAGCGGCCACAAAGCTATTCAGCGAATTCGAGACCTCAACGACGGCTTGGAGGTGTGGTTTGAGGGAGGGGAGGCCGAGGAGGTGAGTATCAGAACGGACAGGGGGGGCTCCAACCCCGTGATCACGGCAGCGCGTCAACGCATTGCAAGGAATGCCAGCATGCCAGCCTCTCACACGCCCGGCACGCGCCCACCTCAAGATCAGGGATTTGTTGCCAGCCTTCGAGAGATCGCACTGCTCGCCGAGGGATGTATCCCACAGCAGTACTGGCATACCCAGGTCGGCGGCCGCTCTGCCAAAGCCGCCCTCGCCACAGAACAGGTCCAGGATCACCGCTGGGTCGGGCAGACTGGAGCCAATGCTGAGGGCTGGCCGCGCCTGCGCGCGGTCTGGGCGAGGCCGCAGGCCGCGGCGTGCCGCCGCTGTGCGCTGGGTAGCCTGTGGATCTGCACGGTGGGCCGCCTGCCCTTCTCGCACCTTTGCCAAGGGCTCCACGACTTCCAGCGGCGTCGGCGGCGGATCTGCTCGAGGTCGCGGAGGGTGGCGGCGAAGTCGCGGCTGGGCCCTGAGTGACGGGGCTGGCATGCGAGGCAGGCGCCGATGGTGCCGAGCTTGAGCGCCTGGATGGCCCCGCGCCAGGCGCGCGAGACCTCCGCCTGAGTGGCGGAGAAGAGGGGGGCGTTCGCCGCGGCGCCCCCCAGGCGCCGAGCGCTGACCAACGCCCGGATCTGCAGGTCGAACGGCCCCGTCTTGTCGAAGCGGGGGTCGCGCCACGCCACCGCCGCGATCATGCGATTGGCGCGGGTCTGGCGCCAGCCCTCCTCGAACGTCTTGTGAAGGTAGTCGCGGGCGGCGTCGTCGAGCAACGCTGGAGCGGAAACTTGCCTCCTCTGCTGCTCGAACCCCTGGCCGAACCCGTTGGGCATGTTGGTGCAAGCCTGGCGCCCAGCCCCAGTCCGCACCGAGGCCGCGTTCAGGACGAGTACCCCGGCTGGCAGCTCGCCGAGGCGCGCCCGCTGGATCGGCGCGAGGGAGGCCGCCGCGGGCGCAGCCTCTGGTGTCTGGGCACGAAGTGCCGGCAACAGCGCCGGTGGAGGGCTGGCTGGCCCACGCCGGCGGGCCAACGTAGGCATGCTCGCCCCGCCCAGGACCCACGCCGCTGGGTGCTTCCCAGTCCGCACCTGCAGCAGACCGCCCGCTGCCGGGCACCCACGAGCGCCCATCTGCGCCAGGAAGGTGATACACGGAAGTAGAACACGCAAGATGGAAGAAGACGAAGCACCCTCGAGCCAGGAATGCTGACGGACGGCTCGGGCTCGAGGTGAGGCTCGACGGGGTCCAGGTTGCGGTCCAGGCCCGGGGTGTTCGACATAGGCTCCAACTCCAGGGACCGGGGCTTGCTTGTACCAGCTCGCTGACGATGCGAATGCTGATGTGACGGTAGATGTTGTTGCGTAATATGTGGCTGACGACGCTCCTGCCCCCCTAGGTCGTAGGCGGGCTCCTGGTACTGGTCCTGCGCGAGGGAGGTCTCCATGGAGGGCTCCTTGAGGACGACGGACGAGGGATCACTGGGGCCCCCGCGGCCTCTCGAAGGGCCATCCGCGACGTTGTACTCCGAAGGAATCCAGCGAATGCTGAGAGAACTCCCCGAAGCCAAGGAGAGGGCCCCGATCTTGCGCATGATACTGAGCCGGGCGTGACTATGGGCCCTCATCCTAGCAGTCGCCGAAACCGAAGACAGCGAGTCACCCAAGACGAGGAGACGCTTCCCGCGGTTGCGGACAGCTCGGAGAGCATGACGAACATGATACAGAACGGCCCGCGCCTCCAGGACAGGCATACCCTCGAGACGATCCCACTTCCTCCTGCCCGTAACCTGCCACTTGCTCTTTTCCAGCACCCGCCGGAGAACTTCGGGAAACTGGCTGAGGTCGCGCTCAAGAGGCGGACCCAGCGACTGCCCGCTGGATCCCGACGGAAGCTCGGCGCCCAGCCGGGCGCGCAGGCCCTCGGCTGCGCCAGCCGCCCCCTCGGCCGCCAGCTCGGCCGCGCGTGCCCGCCGACGTGGAGGCAAGCGCTCGGCCCGGCCATAGCGCCACCTCTCGCTATGGCGACCCACCTCCCGCACCGCGCCCACCTCCCAGACGGCTTCGCAGGCGCCCAACCACCGAGGGGGAGCATCCACGCAGCCCACGCAAGGGGACCACGGCGCGCGGAGGTCACGCCACAACAGAGGGGCAACGCCATCCCAGGCCAGCAGTTCCTGCCCAACCTGGCTCCAGAGCGGCACCTCACGGTTGTAGCACTCCTGGATGAACCTGAAGCACGACTCGAAAATGCTCAGGCCCTCGCGCTGGGCCAGCGCGATGAAGACCACGTGCCCGATGACCCGCTCCAGGTCCCGACCCGGGCAGCGGCCCCTCCGGACCAAGGCTCGCGCAGCAAGCCTCGCGCGCCAGAGTCGCGACGCCGATGACGAGAAACGGCCCGTGGATGAGAGGGCCCACCCGAGGACGGAGAACTCGCCGTCCACCTCGCCAAGGTGAGCTTCCCTCGTAACCACGAGTCCGCGACGCTCGAGCTCCTGCATCATCCTCGCGACGTTGGTGCGGACGACTTCCGCGTCGTAGCCGATGCTGACGTGGCTGTCCACGTACTCGAGATGGCAGGCTGGGCTGAGTGACGGGGCTGGGCGGCCAACCCGAAGGCGAGAGGCATCATCACAGCCGCTCGCCTCGGCCACCCTCTCCATAAGCCACTGGCACCACCACATTGCCCAGGACCAGCCCATGGGAACGACGCGGAGCCTGGGGCACAGGAGGGCGGAGGCCTTCACGCTCTTGGCGCCGACCACGGAGACGCCCATCATCCCAGCACGGACAGGCCTCAGTGCAAAAGCGTAGCGGAGCGCCTCCTGCAACTCCAAGTGGTAGAAAGCGTCCTTCAGGTCCGCGCCCTCGATGGTGAGCTCACTGTCGTCGTCGAGCATCTCGAGGCAACCGAACGCGCCCCCCGTGGCGAGCCTGACGCCGTCGGGCTCCACCAAGACCTCGTTGGACCTGCGGCAGTCCGCGACCATGCGGAGGCGGCCGCCCTTCTTCTTGACAAACAAGATATCTGCTCGCATGCCATCCTCAAGTGCATACTCGATGAGATGGCTCTCACGCAAGAGCTGAACAAAACTGGACCAGCACTTCTGGTCGCGAAGCTTGGGGCCGGAGTAGGGCACAGGCACAGAATCCTGACGGAGACGCGCCGCCGCCTCGCTCGGACTGAGCAGGCTCTGCTGAACGAAGAGTTCGACCTTGGATAGCCCGCCCTTCCCCCACACGTCTGCCAGCGGGACAGGAGCCGCACTGACGTCAGGCAAAGAGAGGAGCGCGGGGGCGTAGCTCCCGAGGGACGACTGCTCGACGGTGTAGGCGCCCCCGGCCACGCGAAGCTGCAAAGGCGCTCCTGCGGGAGAAAGCGAGGCAGGCGGAGGAAGCCAATTGAGGGAGCCCACGGCATTCAGGACATCGTGATGCACACTCAGACGCTTGCCCAGCCGCTGCCGCAGTCCACGGGATAGCCCACGGCCCACGCCCCGATCGAAGACCTCGCGATCCTTCGGGTAGGACAGAGGAAAGATGCCACGTGCACGACGTCGCCGTTCACCGCAGACGTCTTGAGCATGAGCAGGCCCATGACCTCGCTCGGCGCGGAGGGGTTGCATAGACGCGCTGTCGCCCCCTCCGACGGCAGCGCGGGACCTGACCTCAACCATGCTTGCGCCTGGATTCCCGCTCCTCGCGGGCCAGGCGCAAACTCTTGTGCAACTTCGCTTCCTTCTCTACATCTGCGCGCACGTACTCGATGAGGTCAGGAGACGAGGTCGCGCGCGACAAGCCAGAGAAGGCGGCCTGCTCCTCCAAGCTCATCTTGCCGCCAACCCCCTTGCTCTCGGCGTCCTTGGCCTTGCCCCAGTGCGCGAACTCGATGGTCCGGAGCCTCCGGAACTTCATCTCTATGCTGATCAAGTTGGTGCCATCCAACTGGTCCTGGCACGTCGCAGCCTTGATCTGCTGAGACAACTGGAAGTGCTCCTGAACGCCCCAGTCGCTCGCGCCCAGCTTGCACACCTGGCGGAAGTGCTCGTGGTGGCCCTCGATGCGGAGCGCCTCCCGCTGCAGGTAGCGCATGCACCAGGCCGCCGTCCTGGGCCCCCGGAGCGCCCAGTCGCTGCCGAAGTCCCCCTGGCGGGTCATCTCCACCATGCGGTTCCATGGCAGGTCACGGCGGCCCTGGGCATCGCGCACGATGAGGAGGACGCGGGCGTCCGCATCGACGGCCTTGCGCAGGAAAGCCGCCAGCCGCGACGGGGGCACCAGCTCGACGAACAAGCCCGCGCCGTCGGGCAGCACGTGGATGTCCCGCGACTGCACCCTGGCCGCCGTGGGGAGGTGACCCGGCACCTCGTCGCCGACGCGGTACCCGCCCTCGCACATGGCGGCCCGCCATGCCCCCGCAGGTTCCGCAGCAGGCGCAGCGGCAGCGCCGACAGGAGCGCCGCGCAGCAGGCCCACGGCCGGGCCCGCGGGCGCGATCGCCAGGGCCGCCGCGGCGCCACCACCCGGCAGCACCAGGGGCCGCAGGTTCACGAGCAGCTCTGGGTTGCCAGTCGCCTGCGCGCGCCTCCTGCACTCGGCGAGCGCCACCTGCTCGGCCTCGGCGGTGAGCTGCGCCACCTCCGCATCGGTCGGCTCCGCACGGAACCGATACACCTGCTGCGGGTCGATGCCTGGCGGCGGAGGGCCGTGCCCGCCGAACCTGGCCGCCTGCGCGTCCGGGCAGTTCGACACCGTCACTATATACAGGTCGCCGTCGGCCGTGTAGATGACATGGTCACCTTCCAACAATGCCACCCGCCCCAGATTCAAGTGCCGGTTCCACGCCACCTCTCCGGCGTAGAAGACTACACCCAACGTGTTGTCGCTGCCGCCGCCGCCATCGTAGGTCACCGCCTCTCAACTCGGCCGAGCGCCCCGCCTCAACGTCGAGCTCAGGCAACCCAGGCAAGCCGCCGCCACGAAGCAGCCGAGCGCGCCGCCCAGCAGCCCCAGGCAGAACGCCCGGGCGTCGCGGCCCACGTCGCCGAGAGCGGCCGCCACCCCCTGGGCCTCGCCGCCAGCCGGCTGGGCCGACGCGGCCGCCTCGCCCGCGGCCGCGGGCGCCGCGGCCGCGCAGGGGGCGCAGGCCGGGCACGCTGCCGCTGGGCAGGGCGCAGGCGAGGGGCAGGCTGCCGTCGGGGACTCCGGGCACGCAGGTGCCGCGGGACACACCAGCGAACAGGATGGGCAGCTGGCTGGTTGCCCGCGCGCCAGGGAGCACGCAGGGCAAGGGGGGCACGATGGCACTGCGGGGCAGCGGGCGAAGTAGGAAACTGTTCCACTGACGGCGTGATCCAGGACCTTGCCCCAAATAGTCAAGACTTGAGCGACCCAAACAGCGGCGGAACAGAGGCGCGACGGAAACACGTGAAATCACGACAAGAAACCGCAAGCAAGCGCCGTTAAGCGAGCGCTACTCCAGCGGCCCCAGACGATGTTGTCTGGCCGGCCGGGCACGGAGCATGACGTTTAAATCGCGCTTGAAAGATTGCGTTCCTCCCATGACCTGTAGGAGCATATCTCTATCAATGGCCCCCTTTGCGTGACCGTCCACAGTCATATCGCGAGTGTCACACCACTGAATGCTATGCACGATACCTCGCTCCATCTTCTGTCACATCCAACCGATGCGCCCTAAAAGTGCACACTCGGTTTGTGTTTGTTTCCGGGGCTTTGCTTGACAAGGACTTGAGGACTGATTCGGCATCTATGATCAAAGTGGCATGAATGCTTAGGCCACCCATCTCCAGTATACATTTCAACTGAGTGGGTGGCAATGGTCCTGCGTGGAATACGTGCAGAGTAACAATCGTGGGGATAGCAGTCCTCCAAAATACGGGCCGCTGCTAGCGTTTCTGCTGAGTGGCTTGAGCGGACTTGCAAGCGGTGAGACTTGCAGCGCGCGTCGATCAGATGGGCGGCAGGCGTACCAGTTGGCGCGCTTCCACGCCGCAGCAGGTTTGCCCCGCGAATGCCATCGCCTCTTACCTCGTCATCGGCATCTCCATTGAGACGTCGATAGCCGGAGTCGCTGTGCAGGTCAACGTCGCCCGTTGGAGTCATAGTTCGATAGGCGATCTTCTTGAGGCAGGCCTGCAGCTTCCTGGCAATCGCCCAAGCAGAGCCCGGGAGGGGCCGAAGGCGGCGAGAGGCCCACCGGATGGCCTCCGTTATATATATATATAATAATAATAATAATAATAATAATGATATGTATATATATAATAATAATATATGTATATATATATATATATATATTATATATATTTTTATATTTAATATATATATATAAAAAAAAAAAAAAAAAAAAAAAAAAAAAAAAAAAAAAAAAAAACACCGCGAAAGCTCCCAAATACGGCACAAGACGCCACAACAAGCTCCCAGGAGGCCCCAGGAAGCCCCGAAGAGGCCTCCTGGAGCCCCCCCAAGAAGCCTCCGAGAGGCCCGCGAAAAGCCCCCACGGGGCCCCAAGATACCACCAAATTGCATGCGGACAGCCACGCGAAGTACGGTGGTGCCACGCCCACCGCAGTTCTAACTCAACGTCGCCTTCTGCCTCTGGACGGACCGCGCAGCGCAGCGTCGCCCAGAAACGGCCCAACACGCGCCTGGAAGGCCCCAGGACTCAAACGGCACCCGAAAAGCCCCGCAGAGGCCCTGGGGAAGCCCCCCTGAAGCCCCCGCCCCCAGGTGCCCCCGCAACGACGGGGCTGCACGTTCTCTCTACCTGCGCGCTGCGCGCGTCGATCGCAATTCCCACGCGCGCGATCCAGAGACCCGGATGACGCGCGACAACATCGCGTTGTCCGGCTCGCTTCCTAGCAAGGACGACGACAGACCCGCTCGACGCAGCTCGTGCACACGTCGGGAGTACCATCCTCGACGCGGGGAAACATCTGCTGGGGCATCCAGGGAACGCAATCACGAATGGCGACGAGGCCGTCGGGGGCTCGGGGTTCAGGCAAGCAAGACGCGAAGCCAATGTGGTAGACGGGAGCGCGCAGAAACCATTACCGCTTGCACTTCCCGCACTTCAGCATCGAATTACGGCGGCAGTCTTCGCGACTCCATTGCGGCATCCGCTGGAATGCGCACAGATTAAACTTCGGTCGCGGCTTCTCGCCGCATGCAGAACAACGCGGGATCTTGCAAGCGTTGCAGTAGTACGCGCACCCGCTCTTCAATCGAGCGGCAGGCCTCATTCCGCACCCCCCTTCGCAGAGGGGGGGCCGTATTCGGGTGGCGAAACGCAGCGCAAACCACGTCTTTCAAGCCACGGCGCGTCTTGCAAGAGGTCTCGACGAACTGACGCGTTGGCCCCTGCCCCCCGCGCATCGCGCGCTTGAATAGGCGGGCATCCGAACGCGAAGCGAATTTAATACTCTCTGGGGCGCAACTGACACAGACGGCGCGGCCCAGCCCCCAAAACCCCCCCACACTTTCACGGCGTTCACTTCTCCGAGCCTGAAATGGCCCAACGGTCTCCGCAGCCCGCGCTGGCAACAGTCGAAGACGCCCGCCCCTTCCCAAGCGAGAGGCGCGGAACGGGCGGGCGGGGCGCCCGCGGGAGGAGCCGCGGCCCGCTTTTTGCGCGCAGAGGGCGCACCTCCTCCAGGCGCCCTGGCTCAGCACCACCATGGCGTGCCCCGCGGGGTCGCTCGTCCTCATGCAACTGCCCGGGAAAATCCCCGCTCTCTTGCGCGGGTGCCAGTCGCCGCACTGGAAAGCAACGTCCACCAACTTCTTTGACGTCCTGAAAGCCGCTTCCTTCTCTGCCCTGGCCCAGCCGGCTCTCGCCAGTTCCATCGTCATCTCCCCAGTTGCGAAAGGGCGCAGAATCCACGGACCAGTCCGATGCCCCTGGCGGAACAGAATGGGCGAAAAAGGCTGTCAGGTCGTCAGCCCTCCTGGCGCGGCTGATGACCGTGTAGCCCGTGGGGACAGTGGATGCACGGGGCGTCGTGCGCGCGTCCAAAAGGTCGATAATGACCTGCGACAGCGCGGCGGCGAAGTGCGGAACAAGCGAGAGTCGTGCGCGTACGCCCACGCCCCGCGGTATCCATGTATCCCTCGTCGAGTCCTTCACCTGCCTGTGCACGGCGTCCAACAGCTCCACCGACAGGTTCTCCACCTCGTCGATGATGAGCTAGCGCTTGTGCTGGATTTTCGTGCGCAGTACGTTTTTCTGACAACTCCGGGTCTTTCTGTCCGCTGAATTGGACACCCGTGATGAGATTGATCCCGGGCTTGCTGAACTTGTGGCTGGTCCTTCCGGCGATACAGCTCGCCATGGAATTCACTTAAGCCGTCTTTACGATTTGCACCTTGAGCTCCCATCCCATGCACGCGGGTATCGTCACACAACCACCCGATGACCTCGGACTTACCTGATCCCGGTAGACCAAGAACGAACAGCTGGGACAATGGCGATCCGCGCGGCTGGACTTCCTCGCTGGCTTCAAAAAGGCACAACAACCCCTAGACGGCCCAAAGAGGGTCCAAAGGACCCCAAGGCGGCTCCACGGGACCCCAAAAGGGCCCCAAGGCAGCCGCGAGAGGCCCACAGGAAGGCCTCCGAAGGGGCCACACGGCGCAAGAGCGCCCCGAGACGGCCCAAGGCGCCCCCAAGAGGCCCCGAGGGGCCCCAAGCAAGCCCCCAGGAGGCCCCAGTACGCTCTCAAGAGGCTTCCAAAAGGCCCCACAGAAGTCCCCACAAGGCCCCGCAACGACTGGATTGCACGTGCTCCGGACTTGCGCCCCGCAAAAAGCGAGAGGAACAATCATCGTCATCCTTATCCTTATCCTTATCCTCATCCTCCTCCTCCTCCTCCTCCTCCTCCTCCTCCTCCTCCTCCTCCTCCTCATCATCATCATCATCATCATCATCATCATCATCATCATCATCATCATCATCATCATCATCGTCATCGTCATCATCATCATCATCATCATCATCATCATCATCATCATCATCATCATCATCATCATCATCATCATCAGCATCAGCATCAGCATCAGCATCAGCATCAGCATCAGCATCATCCTCATCCTCATCCTCATCATCATCATCATCATCATCATCATCATCATCATCATCAGCATCATCATCATCATAATCATCAGCAGCATCATCAGCATAATCAACAGCATTATCATCAGCAGCAGCATCATCATCAGCATCAGCATCAGCAGCAGCAGCATCATCACCATCATCATCATCAGCATCATCATAATCAGCATCAGCAGCAGCATCATCATCAACATCATCATCATCATCATGGTCATCCTCAGGATCATTATCATAGTCATCATCAGCATCACCACCATCATCATCATCATCACCATAGTCAACATCATCATCGTCATCATCATCCCACCATAATCATCAGCATCGTCATGATCATGGTCGTCATCATCAGCATCACCATGATGAAGATAATCATCGTCATCAGCAACATCATGAATAGCATCGTCATCATCAGAAGCATCACCATCAGCATTATCATCCTCATCGTCATTGCCATCAGCATCATCATCAGCGCCATCATCATCCCTCATCATCATCAACATCCTCAACAGTATCACCGTAATCAGCATCCTCGCCGACATCATCCGCCTTATCGCAATCATCAACCTAATCAGCATAATCATCTGGTCATAAAATGAGCATCATCATCACCAACATCATCACCATCATCACCGCCATCATCGCCATCATCACCATCATCATCATGTTCATCAGCATCAGCACCATGCTGCAATAAACCCTCCCTCCAAGCTCCCCGGTCATAGCCCCCTCCAAGCATTCTTTCTCCCGTATGGAAGTGTCCCCTTGGAAGAGTATCGTCTGAAAATCCTGAACGTACCATAACACAACTCCTGGGACTGCAACGCCGCGAATCAACGATACTGCTGCTTCCTGACGGTCCTGAAACGTGCCAGAACACCGCTCCTCGACCTTCAAGACCACGAACCCACGTGACTGTTGCCCTGACCATCATGCACTGTGCCACAATACCATTCCTAGGACGCCAGCCATAGGAATCCTTGAAACTGCTGTAATATATTGAAACGAGGGTGCGAGGCGCCAAGGCAAGAACGACAATCAAAAAGGAGCCACCCTCCATCCGTGAAACTCTTGCAAACATTTAAAACGAGTGCGCGCGGAGCTGAAGCAAGAGCCACATGCTGAAGAGGAACCGACCTCCACCCGTGAAGCTCTTTCAAATGGTTAAAACGAATGTGCGCGGGGAGAGGGAGGAAGGGGGAAGTGGAGTACCCTAACAGCTGGCTGTGGAAGAGCATCGCCTGGCCAGGGTCACGGGCACTGGCCGAAACTCGTATCTCCCCCCTTACCCCGAGACCTTCGCGAAACTGGAGGTCCCCAATAGTCCCTGGGATTCTCCAGAGGCCTAGAAATAAGCAAAAAGGTGTGAAGTCATCAATCCTACGTCGTCCTCCTCCCCCTTGTCCTTGTCCTAAGATATCCGACGATTGTTCGAGATAAAGGACAGCAGACCTCTCGACCCTACCCCAAGGCGGATCTATGTCAGCCTGGCCCAGGATGGAGAGGAACCGCCCGTCTCGATTCCTTCGAGCCGCGGAACGTCCCCAGATCCACTCCGATTTGATAGTTCTCAATGCGCGGCACCAACGCTCCCAAACCTTTCACTTGGAGAAATTGTTCACCCTGGATTCATGTTTGACGGTCCCAGGACCCACAACAGGCCCGAAGGGCCGAGATCAAGGAAAAACGGCGGGCGTGAGAAATCATACCGTCGGAGATCTGGGCTCTCCTCCTCCTCCTCCCCGGGGAGCCTTGTGGAAGTTGAGCCACCCGCGGCGGCTGTTCTGGCGGCTGCATGCCCAGAGGGGGGTTTGCGAGTGGACACGGCGACAGAGGCTGGGACGACCAGGGGTCGATAATCATTGGAACGTGTACTAGCGCCGACGTGTGCTTGTCCACCTAAATCCTTCACCACGACGCATGATGTGTAGAGAAAGGGCCAACACAGGCTGCATGCCATCGCTGGAGACTGCACGGGGGAAACACACAGCGGGCTAACACACGAACTGAGGATCATCGAAAGGGGGGGAGGACGAAAAGAAACAGGACCCAAACCTCCAGCATGTTGAATTTGTGCTCTTCCGCGGGCGCCTCCAGGGAAGAAGTGGGAAAGACATGATTACGAGGGCCCCTCCGTCAGAGAGACAGAAGTCTAGAGTTTTGGGAGCTCGAGTTTGCCTGACGGGGCTGTCGGAATAAATGACAAGACCTAGTGTGAAATCCCACCAGCCCTTCAGCGCTTAGGTGGTCTAAGGTGTTTTGTTTTCCATCTGCCCCTTTTCCCCTTCGGGGAAGGGTTTACCACTGCTCCTTCTTCATATACACCCCCTCCCCCGCCCGGTCGGCGGCCAACCCGGGACCATGCCTACTCCATGCGGGCCCGCCCCCACCATCCCTGTCAAAAAATAATACAAACCGCACTCAGCCTCCACATTTGGAGCATGCGAGGCCAAACCGATGCGCCCCCCCACCATCCCTGTCAAAAAACAATGCAAAGCACACCTTGAGGCAAAGTCTTGAGTAAGGTTCGTGAGGCCCGCGAGCACGTTGTATTGTTTTTGGCAAGGACGGCGGGGGTGTCAGCATATTCCCTGCTGCGCGCAGGGCTACCATCCCTGACAAAAAAAAACATACAACATGCACTTCGCGGCTACATCTGGATCATGCGAGGCCATCCCGCGATCACTGTCAAGTGATTTTTGACAGGGACGGCGGGGGAGGTGACGCGTGGCCTGCTGTGCTCAGGCCCACTCAGACACAATGATGGGCATTGGTTTTCGACAAGGATGGCTGGGGCCGACATGGTTTCCGATGTGTGCTGCCACGTGCGCAGGCGCACCTGACGCACTCTGCACGTGCCCCGAACATGGCGCACCTGGCGCGGCTGGAGTGTGCGGCACACCTGGCGCACTCTAAGCACGTGGCGCATCTGGCGCACCAGGCGTGTCTGGCGAGCCTCGGGCCCCAGGGGTGCCTGGCGCGCGTGGCGCCGCTGGCACGCGTGGCGCACCTCGCCCAAGCGTCGCGCACCAGGGGTCGGTTTTGGTTCCCAGTAGCTGTCCATCCAAAGACGACCGCTGAACATGCTCAGGCTCGGGTGTTACTCATGTGTTGGGAGAGCCGGTGGGAGTGAGCTAGACGGCTTGCGGGCGGGTGCGTAGCTTGATCGCTGTTCACTATTGATGTACACCCCGTCTGTGTTGGGAGGGCGGGAAGGAGTGCGCTTGACGGTTTGCGGGCGGGTGGGTAGCTTGATCGCTGTTCCTTATTAATGTACACCCCCTCCCCCAGGCGACCGGCGTCCAAACAGGAAGCATGAGGACACCATGCCGACCCGCCCCCCCATCCCTCCCATCCCTGTCAAAAACGAACCAAACCGCACTCTGCCTCCACATGTGGAGCATGCGCGGCGAACCCGATGCACCCCCCCACCATCCTGTCAAAATTCAATGCAAAGTACAATCTAGGGCAAAGTCTCGAGTCATCTTCGTGAGGCCCGCGAACACTGTGTATTGTTTTTTTTTCGAGCTACGTGGATCTCCGGTCTGTGGTAAGCACGCAGGCCAAGCAAACACCAGGTGCTGATCCGGATGTCTGACGCCGCGGGGTCTTAAAATCATATAGCAAAGCAATACGCTCAGAGGGCGGGAGAGAGAGGGGGACGAGCAGAAAAGCAGGAGGAGAAGCCTGCCACAACGTAGAAAAAAGTTCGAGTCCGCACCACCGAGCGGCCAAGTAAAGCCACGACTGGCTTGGTCTCTCCCCCCTCCACCCTTGTGCAAATATTGCGCGAACGCACCTAGCAGCTCCTCATCCCCCCTCCCCCACGGGCCACTTCCGCTTCAAGACGGGCTCGGCACCAGCGCCAAGTCACGCAGTGGCGGATCGGAGCGTCGTCACCGTACTCGCTGCAAAGAGCCTACCTAATCACCGATCGGGTTGATCTGCTTGGCGATGGCCGTGGAGCACTGGAACTTCAGGTGGAGTTGGCGGGCCTTGTCATCACTCAAGGTCTGCCTGCAGTGCGGGCACTTGAACTGGCCGTCCAGCTTGATCACCACGTTCTCAAGCGTGCCGTTGCCCGACACCGCCTCCTTGCTGATCTAGCATCGCCTCCGGCATGGCGGCGGCCTTGGCGCGGGCGAGAGCTTAGAGTTTTGGCTCTCTCTGAATTTTTCGAGCCACGAGAGCACCCCTCGGGCCAAGTGGCTTGAGCCCAACTGGCTTGAGCCAAAATGGTTTGAGCCAAAATGGCTACGGAACACTGTGTATTGTTTTTGACAGGGACGGCGGGGGTGCCAGCATATTCCTTGCCGTGCGCAGGGCTACCATCCCTGACAACAAGCAATACAACATGCACCTCGCGGCTAAACCTGGGTCATGCGCGGCCATCCTGCGATCACTGTCAAGCGGTTTTTGACAGGGACGGCGGGGGAGGTGGTGCGTGGCCTGCTGTGCGCGGGCTCACCAAACACAACGATGGGCACTGTTTTTTTCGACAAGGATGGCTGGGGCCGACATGTTTGCCGATGTGTGCTGCCACGTGCGCAGGCGCACCTGACGCACTCTGCACGTGCCCCGAACATGGCGCACCTGGCGCGGCTGGAGTGTTCGGCACACCTGGCGCAATCGAAGCACGTGGCGCACCAGGCGTGTCTGGCGAGCCTCGGGCCCCAGGGGTGCCTGGCGCGCGTGGCGCCGCTGGCACGCGTGGCGCACCTCGCCCAAGCGTCGCGCACCAGGGGTCGGTTTTGGTTCCCAGTAGCTGCCCATCCAAAGACGACCGCTGAACATGCTCAGGCTCGGGTGTTACTCATGTGTTGGTAGGTCGGGTGGGAGTGAACTAGACGGTTTGCGGGCGGGTGGGTAGCTGTATTACTGTTCCATATTGAAATACAACCCCTCCCCCGGCGACCGGCGGCCAACCGGGAACCATGCGGGCACCTATCAAAAAAACAATAAACAACGCACTCTGCCTCCACATTTGAAGCATGCGCGGACAACCCGATGCACCCCCCCTACCATCCCCGTCAAAAAACTATACATCATACATTTTGGGGCAAAATCTTGGGTCATGCTCGTGAAGCCTACGAGCAATGTGTATTGTTTGTGACAAGGGCGGCGGGGGTGTCAGCATATTGCCCGCTGCTCGCAAAGCTACCGTCCCCAAGAAAAAACACTACAACATGCACCTCGCGGCTAAATTTGGACGATGCGCGGCCACCCCGCGATCTGTAAACTGGTTTTTGACAGGGACGGCGGGGGTGGTGGCGCATGGCCTGATTTGCGCAGGCCCACCAGACACAATGATGGGCACTGCTGTTCGACAAAGGTGGCGGGGGCCGACATGTTCACCGATGTGTGCTGTCACGTGCGCAGGCGCACCTGACACATTCTGCGCGTGCCCCGGACGTGGCGCACCTGGCGCGGCTGGAGTATGCGGCACAGCCGGCGCACACGGAGCACGTGGCGCATCTGGCACAGCAGGCGTGCCTGGCACGGTCGGCCCCCAGGGGGGCCTGGAGCGCGTGGCGCGCCTGGCACGCGTGGCGCACCGCGCCCCACCGTCCCGCACATGGGCTCTATTCTGGCTCCAAGTAGCTGCACATCCAAAGACGACCGCTGAACAGGCAGATGCTCGGGTGTTAGTGATGCGTCGGGAGGGCGGGTGGGGGTGAGCTAGACGGCTTGTTATCTAGGAGGGGGTACTGACCCCTCTCCCTACCCTCTCCCCTGGACCTGGACGGGCCTGTCGCGAGGTGTCAGGGCGTCCAGAACGGCTTCGGCGAGGAAGCCAATATCATTGGTTCGACGACGGTTTGGCACCATTTGGGCCTTTGGGAGGGCACCACTATTAAAGCTCCCCTCTTGTTTGACCGATAAGTCTTTTGCCGGGATATTCATAATCCCAGCAAGATGTTCCGATGATATATCATGGTCAGTGGGCTCCGAAGATGACATGGATAAGAAGGGATAGCGCCGTCAAGCATACGCCAAGGTAACACTGAAGGGAGGAGGCCGGCCCGTCGGCCGACGCACACGCGCGCGCGCGCCGCAGGCTCGCTCCTATTCCGCCCCCCTAGAGCCAAAGTATATAGCTGCGGGATGAGAACAAGTCAGTCAGCACAGAAGACCGACAGCGCGTGCAAGGAGAGAGAGCAGGCAAGGCGAAATAATGGTGGTGCGCAAGGGGTGCATTGACCCCCTCAGCGCCGGGATCCGTAGAGCCGCCCCGACCCCCAACACACCTGGGCTGCACATATGCACAGCCACTGGAGCGAACCCCAAAAAGCATTTCACCGCTCAACGGTGGTTTCCAGGGGGCGGAAGGCAGAAGAAGCCCGACGTTCCCCGCCTGAGCTGATATTTCCAGCTCAGGTCTCAATGCCCACGCGCACCTGGTGCACCCGCTCCACGAAGTAGTGCGGACCAGCATCGCCTTTGTCGCGCTGGTTCCATTGCGCAGCATCACCTTCTCCATCGACCTCTCCATTCACGAGAGTCATCCCAGGGATCGCTGTTGCTCCAGCGCCACTGGTTCGGGCCCCTGGAGGAGCTGTCCTCTCTTCTGCTCGAGCTCCAGCCACTTGGCCCATTATTGCCCTGGCCCGTCTCCGGCGGCCTCGCCTTCGGCGTTGGCGGCGGGGGAGGCACCGGCAAGGTACTCGACGTCACAGTGTCGCGCTGGAACTTGTCGCCGTACTCGTCCAGACTTAACCATTGCCACTTTTGTTATGATCAGTGGTTTGATGATGCCGGGATACATGTACATAGTACCCTCGAATGTCTCC